TTATCTAAGGATTGCCATCATAGAACATTGTCTAGCTTCAATCGTTAAGCCTTCCATGCTAGTGACATTATCTAAGGGTTGCCATCATAGAACATTGTCTAGCTTCATTCGCTAGGCTTTCCATGCTATTGACATTATCTAAGGGTCAGAGACCAAATTTAACAAAATAACACTGTGAAGATCGGTACAGTTCATCCTTCCTGGTTTTGTTTTTTTCTTAGAGCACAACTCCTTCATTCCACTTCTGTAAAACACCTGTACCCTCAGGTACGACCTTCCTCCATGAAAGGAAACTAGGTTTCTATGGCTGACATGCAAATTTGGTCAGGAATGTTTCTATAATCCAAAGCCACTTAACACGGTGCTCTGAAAGCAAATAATACAAACTCTTTTTTGCCTGTTAGAATTTCAGGGTTCCTAACGTTCTCAGATGATTGAAACAACCATCAATGTTCAAGGATCTTAACTGATAACCTCGTCTGTTATATCTCTGATACAGTAAGAATTGCACTTGTCTTCAGCTCAATACATAGACTGAGTGATTACCACAATACATTATACTGACAGGGAGTATCACAACTTCTTTCTAGTCGTGGATTTATCAACAAACCAATAACAACAACTGTTGTTCAACAAGTTTAATCCAACCATAACAATTGGTACGCCAGCTGCAACTCCTCAGATGATTATCAGAGCAATTTACCACTCCAATGCTGCCATTTTCTCATCTGATTCCTCATGAATTATCAGGTATGCTCTGGTAAAACCATCCACGTTGTTATTATGCAGCTTAGTGCTCTCATCACTAGTTAACACGCACATCAATCAATGATTTTTTGGAGAAACCATTTTTTAAGGGTCATCTTGCGCATGTGACACATCCACTGCAACTCGTACCTCAGAGAGTTGTTGACCAGTCCAGCCAGAATTGAGTTGCTTGTTATATAGTGGAGACTTGTACCAAAAGCATATTCAGTTACCATGATAGAACTTACATGCTGCCACTGTATTCTCAGAATAGCTCTTTTGATGTAAAGACTCAAATTCATGTGCATCATCTAATGCACAATACATCCACTCTGTGGATACTTGAGTACAGCTGCACTGGACAGAGGGTCATACATCAGGTTCACAGGGAGCTGTACTTCTCATCCAAGCATCAACGAATTTGAAGAATGGCCAATAATTTGTTATCCAATTGCACCCCTTCATAACATATAGTAGGAACTTATTCC